CATCACAGTGGCGACAACAGTACCACGCGTTTTTAACAGGTACTTCACATTTAGTATGTTTGTTGGTGATGTCGCGGAACCTTACGAAACTTTTAAAAAAGCTATCTTTAAATGTGAAGATCTAACCGAACGACGAAGGCAAGACCAACTCTTCAACAACATCGAACTGCAACATGGATTAGCAACAGAAACGTTACTATGAGTGGGAGAGTTCGTTGGTCAACGGGCCTGTGTTAAACAGCTCTTCTTGCCTAGGCTTCTCCGACAGGTGCAGGCGGTACTTGTCTAATCTTAAAGTACCGCTGTAGCCGAACTGGCTGCATTCGCCGACTGGATTCTTGAAACCACCGGTAATTCCAGCGCCGACGTGTACCCAGTCAAAGAAAAACATCAAAAGACACAAAATGACGTCACAGACCTCTGTCATACTCTGACACGTTGACCTAACATCCGTCATAACCGTAAACGATCCCAAACGCCTCGAGGGAACTCAAGAAAGCGATCTGCTTCTAGATGACGGGAGACAGATAACCTCGACTGGTGATGGTATCATAATAACTACAGAAAATCTCAAACTTGCAGAAAAACCTGAAATTTACCGAGCTCCAGACAGTCTGACACGGAAAACGTTTAGGGCAACTTCCCAGCCGACACGCTTTAACGGCAACCGTTTCCGGTGAGCACAACTGCCTGTTATACATCACTGATGTGGTAAAGAATAACCGCTACCCCGTCGACGCTAGCGCAGGAGTCAGCGTTCTACTAGCAGACTTTAACGATCGACTGCACGAATCAGTTTCCAACTTACGGGTGGCAAACGAGAAACTAGTCACCACATATGGTAAGTGGTATGTGTCTTAACGTGAGTTTACACAAACCGATTCACTGGATTTTAGTTTTTCTGTCCTAATCATTGGCATGGACCTGCTACAACACTTTAATATAATTATCGACACACAGACGGAGGTTAGTAGATGAAAATATTAATCTGTTTGCTTAACATCATTTTCCGGCTGTAGATTGTCCCCAGTCACAGTAAGGCACATGACTAGTCCATACTACCAATAAATTTTTGATAAGTACTCCGAGGTATGCCTAAAACGCGATCAATTCGCCTCCTGAAAAGAAAAGTGACAAACAATCTGGATTGTTTCACATGATGTCCAGAAACAATACCCATCAAGTATATTACTGCCGAAACAGTCGTCCGCCTTTCTGTCAAACGATGGGTTGCAAACTTCGGCTGCCCTTCAACTATCTCTACAGACCTTGGACCTTAGATCAAAGCATGTGAACAGGTAGATAACTCTCGAGGGAGAGCGACCTGTCGATGTTGTATTCGAGTTGACACCGGAAATAGTGTTCGCATAAATTCAGACAGACGATGAACGTAGTCTGACTTATCGAGATCGTCACTCCTCCGTGGTGTGAAAAATTTATCAGGCAGACGCAATGTCGGGCCATATACAAGTTCAGTGGCGGAACATCCAATATCTGCCTTTGAGCTCGTTCTGATACCTAAGAGAACGAGCGGTAAGGTTTCGTGTTAATTTTTGTTTTCGTGTGTTCGAAGGGCACTTCAACTAAGCTATTTGATGCTGGGTGGTAGGCGGCAGTGCATATACGTTCCATACCAAGCAGCCGGGTCAGTGAGGAGAATAGTCAACTAGGGAAATTTCTCGAATTAATCGTGGAATATACATTTCTGGCATCTTGAAAAGAACAGTTCGGCATTCTTAACAGCCCATATTACAGACCTGCAATTAATCGATCCCACAGCTGCACATGAAGATCATCACCGAAATTGCATATGGCAGCTTGGTTTTGCAATTCAAGGATGAATTCCCCAAAATTTTGGTTATTCTGACGAATCATTTTATAAAATTTCTCTCTCACGACATCTAAAACTGGTGCACTTTACGTGAGTTAGTAGTAGTTCCTTATTAATGAGATAGGCTTTTCTGGATATGCCAACGTTTTCAATAAACTGTAGGCTTCTTTTCCAATGAATGTAAGGGAACGAGACACAATTTTATCACTCTTCACATCTTTCTTAGTCATGCTCCAGATTTCAAACCTTTCCAAATAATCCTCAAAACATTCAAAGTTGAATGAATGTCTAACTGTTCCATCACAGGCTCCATCGCGACGCCAATATGATGATTAGGAATATTTGAATCATGAAACAAACTGGGAATCTCAGAAATAACGCAATTTAACCAAGAAGTGCTTGAAGATGGCACAGGTATTCAGTGTTCGACAACGCTTTTACCAGCAACACCTAATATAATTCGTACCCACCAAGAGAAATCAAAAGACAGAGTCGAGGAGATCGGAAGAGTGTATTTGGCAATAACCAATATATCGGAATTCACTGATCTAATCTGGCTAGCGATTGCAGTAGATGTTGAGCACAGTGTTACCACACGCGATCTGGTGCGGATGCATGACTGAGAGCTTTCAGCTAGATGAGTCCACTAAAACATATGGTCAGCATCCAATGTTGGAAACTTACAGAGCTATTTATTTTGGGGATTTATTTACCGCTACAGAACACTCCCCCCCTAGAGGGGTAGTGATGACCCTAAGACATGGCCAGCCAGAAGTTTAAACCCAAAGAGTTTGTCGTTGGTAAACACTCTTCTGATAGCTTGCTAGATTTAGTAGCGTCTGGTCGTCTTTCCTTACTATATGGGACCGAGGTACAACATAGTAAAGAAAGAAAAAAGTACAATGAAAATTTCCACTCCTCGTAAACTGCATCGTTCTTTTCCAGCCGTCCTGGAAAAGAAAATGTAAGCGCATGTTGAAATACACTCGTGTGTGCGTAAAAACACAGTGTCGGCGAAAAAAAGGAGAATAAACTCAAGCACACGTAATAGCGTTAAAAAAATTTATATGTTCTTTTTTTGAAATAAAAATATAAATATATAAGCATATTTAAACTGTTTTTAAAAAAAGATATAAATCGTAAAAGGAAAGATCGATATAATACAAAATGTCGAGTTGTGCCTTACGTGCAGTAGTCGTTTAAATGTTCTGGAACGCGTCGTCTTAAGTTTATTTTCAGATACATTCGGAATGTCATCGCTAGTGTTGGTTGTCGGTTGAGGAATTATGAGTGTAGGAGTCGTGTTGTGCGATTGTACCGAATGAAAGTCGACGTGAATAGGATTTCCTTCTAAATGCGCTGATTTTAAGCGACCGACGCTGATGCTATCGTTTGTTCCGTTCCTATCGACTATATAGTACTTAGATTCACGTTGACGAACTTTGAAAGGTCCTTCGTATGCTGATTCGAATGGTCGTCGATGTGAGTCTCGACGAACGAAAACATGTGTACTATATCGTAAGTCAGGTTGAACGAAAACATCGGTTGATTATGGTCGAGTGGAAGCAGGTTTAACTGAACGCATTGCGTTTGTAAGCCCGTTCGTGTAGGAGGTTAGATTCATGTTTATTGAAGAGGATGAAGGATCCACGAATTCTCCTGGGAGTCGAAGTGTCGTTCCATAAACGAGTTGAGCCGCAGTGTATCCAATGTCAGCTTTGACTGCATTGCGAATACCTAGTAAGACGAGTAGAAGAGCGTCGGCCCACTGTGAAACGTTTGCAGCTGATAGTGAAGCTTCCAGTTGTCGGTGAAAACGTTCTACCAACTCGTTTGCTTGTGGGTGGCAGGCGGTCGTTCGGAAGCGAGTGATTCCTACAAGTGTGTGGATGTACCGAAAACGATGGGAAACGGTCGCGCAATATCATAGACTGATTAAAGTTAGACACATACACCATTGGATACTATTTCATTGTTCTGTGTAACCGTTCGCAAGATTGTTTTCCAGTTGTATGTGACCATTACTAGGGGATCTCACACGACGGCGAGACGACCTTTCAGTATATCCATGTTTCCAATGATTGTTCAATTTCGGTGGGTTCGTGATATCGACAAAATTCAACAATTTACACAACCATGTACTAATCAGTATTATTATAGCCATGTACATGAAACCAGGGTAATTCTAACTTCACTGAACAAGGATAGAAGAGGTTGTCGCAAGAATATTCAACTTCAGATAAGTAATTAGGCATCACGTGTTTTTAAGGCAAATGGCTACGATAGAGCTTCCGGATTTACTATGATCTCGTTTCATTCCCAAATTCTTAGTAAGCAATGAGCTAGTAATGTACTAAATGTAAAGTAAACTGAGTAATAAAAATGTGTTTGTAATATTTCAGTGAATAGGAAACTAAGTTTCACATGTTTTGACTTATCTATCCGCTAATGAAGTGATCCGCACTAAGTCATGAAACATCATAAACCTATTTTTCTATTCATTGGGATATTACGGAATATTATTTTGATCATCGTCTATCCAAGGCTGAATCTATTTGAACTTACCAAGTCCAGCCTTGATACTGGAAACTACAAAATCGTGTATACTTTTCACCGGACCACACTTAGGAATATAAACTATGTATATGGATTTCATCTGCTTTTGGGTTTGTTGTCGAACGCAAGCAATTTTAATACAACGATATACTGTTTCTGTATATAGTTCTAGTAGAAAATGTTGATAATCCAACTGTTTATTTCATAGGTGATCATCAACATAATATTTACGTCTTAAAATCATTCAACGTTTGATAAATAAATTGAAATCGAAATCACTGTCGATCTGAATCAGTAAGCTAACAAGCAAGTGAAACCGAGAATGCACTTAAAAAGGTTATTAAATTTGTACTGGCATTTTTCTCAAGCTTTCGGTATTTCTAATAACAATGTAATAGTATTTTGTGCATTTTTTACTCATTGCTATATTTAAATTCGACTGTTTAATCTCTACTGATCTCGGAGATATTTACATGTCAGTCTTTATGATATCCTATATGATCATTCACATGATTATCAATACTCGAATTCACCATTGCTATCATAAACACTAAGAGAATACTGAAACAGAATGCTGGTCACCCTTAAAATTAACATGCATAATAAAAACAAGTCAAATCCTTTGTCTATATTTAACAGATTACACGAAAAAAAGGAACCTAATGAAGAGAAATGCATAAATTCAATCTGAATTTAGAATTACTAGAACTGGCAAAAAATATTAAGATAATTTCGACAAGATTATAAATTGCATATATCAGCAGACGATCATTTCAAAAATGTGGACAATAGAAAAATACTTAGTAGATGGTACGCAATATAATATTATGTACAACATAGTGTTTTTTAAATTTGATAGACAGGAAAATGATAATTCTAAAGAAATGACAAATGTTACAATTGTTGTAGATAAAATCCAACTTTTTCATAGACTCTTTTACAACCTGAAACAGAGAAGAACTTGCTCCCTTCCGGTGACCATTCAAGTTCATCCAGGACAAATTGAACCATATCCTCGGAAAATGTGACATTACGTCGCTTAGCAGCATCTTGAACACATTTTCTAACATGGGTCGGCTGTAATGGCAAGAATGGAATAACAGCTGTGATCAGATGTTTAGTAATTAGCTCAGAGTACTGAAGGCCACCTATGATAACAAAGGGAAAACAAAACACGTTACATAACTCTAAATATCAACGATAATTTATCATCACTTTTTCGTAAAGCAACACGATCACAATCATCATACAAAATGAAGCTAACAATGGTTCTTGTCAATGTCTAGCTATACACAACACTGAATCATTACAAGTCTATTTTAAAACATTTTGTCTTGAGAGGAATTTTTTGAAGTGAATGCAACTATTTTTATATCCGGTATTATTTTAAAGAAAGACAATGAATTTTCTCACTCAGTTGAAATTTCCGCGAATAATGATTAGTGTGTTTCTGAGTTCGACAGATACAAATAGTATGTATCATCAATTGAAATACCCGGAAGCGGAAGATCAAAGAAAAGAAAACGAGAGCAAGGAATGACTGCTGTAAGAACGAAAGAACAATCAAGTCTGGGACGATTGATTGACACTTTTCAAATGAGTAATTTACTGTATGGTTATCAGATTTTACTAAGACATTCTGTAATTTTGTGTTCAAATACATCTGGTTGTCCCCGCTTGTGTTTTTGTATACTACAAGTGGTCTTAGAAATCCAAATAATCAATCAATTATTTTGATTAAGAATAATTTGTGATTTAGTTACATAAAAACATAAATAAAACACAATTCACTCTTACAGCTCAACTGTAACATTCCCATAGTTTGAAACTCATGGTATCAAGAAATAACTAGTTTAATTTAACCATTGAAATGGGACTTTCCCTTTTTCAATCATTTAACGTACTTTAATGATCAAATGTAGATTTTTGTACTCAGCTTCAAGCCATAGGGATTCCCTTATATGAAAACTAATCGGTTATCTGAAATGAGGTAAAAAGTTGGGGGTTTTGTACGTGAAACTCAATGGTTGAAAGCTGAATACTTTACAATCATATAAATCACCGCTAATATTCAAGAACTAAAATGTTGCTTCATTAACAAAAACGGAACAGAAATACACTACATCAAAATTCTATGTAGTTAATTATTCCATAGAAAAATGAAAGTCAAGTTAAGAAAGATAGGTAACTAAAAATCCAATACAGTTGATTTATTGTTTAACGGATTAATGAATTTTATTTACGTCTCACAATTTCCAAATGCAGTTTTGTTAAGTGTAGATTGGATTTTTTTAAATTTGATAACAAAGAAATCCGAATCTGATACTGGTATACATCCCCCCCTAAACAAGAACCTAATCAGTTATTTTAATGAGGAAAAACCAAGAGTGAATAGAAAGCTATATACTGACAAAATAATTTGAAATTTATGCATAAACTCATTCGGTTACATAGATACGTATTCCACAGAAAATCAGGCCGGATTACCAACCATTAGCATGAATCACCCCAAATCCCCTTACTAGCCACTTAGCAATGGATTGATGTCTAATTTTCCTGCATATCAGTAAGGATTTAGCTTTTGTCTTTAAAAAAATCGACTGAATTGTCTCGAATTTAATTTTGCTTTTAACGTAAGATTTCTATAAAAAAGCTTCTTGTATATATCAATTACATATATTAATTATTGTGGCATTCAATCAGAACTATTAGATAGATTGTTCGAATCCTACATATAAAATAACACTGGTTTTTACTAAATGGAACAAATATGGTTAAAATCACAGTGAGTCATAGATAAGTATGCACGTTGGTTCCAGTTCGTACAACTTTTATCAGGCCAGCGAAACAGTACTAACTCTAATTAGAAGAAATAACACAACTTGAGATTTAAGGAAAGATAAAGAACAAATCCAACTATGACCAATGTTGGGTCATGTCACTCAACATTGCCAAACAGAGATTATAACTAATGTGTAATCTTCGACCAGAATATGTTTGCCAAAACGGAACGGATCATAGGTTGTCTTCAGAAATTTAATAGTTGAATTCATGAGTCGATTTAACCAAGATCACCCTGGAAAACCTGGATGGCTGTTCCGTCCTAGTATGGGACTCCTGAAAAGTCCACACTCGCGATCCCGCACGCAGGATTCGAACCCAGGTCATCTTGTAATTTCTTATTCCACTGTCATCCATCGGTAATAAATGGGACTATCAAAAGGCCGCATATTAATAAACGCGACCATTGAAAATGGGAACAACATTTTTAATGGCGTGAAATATGTTCAAGTTAACCTCTGACCCTTTACCTTACGGCCAGTTGAAAACGTAGTTTTCTAAACCTATGATGAAGTCTACTTCCAACAAATATTGTGATCTTTTAATTTGATAATCAATTGCTATTATTATTGTCCTAGTCATGTTATCCTGTACATCTATTTCGAACAGCTAGGATACAATTTATTAAAAAGAATGTTTGTGTGGGCTTGATTTTCAATATATAAAGAGTTTGTGAGACAATTTCAGGTGATCGAAAATGTGATAATTAATAAATTTATCGTATTACAGCGCCACCTACACTTCACCGTACGATATTCAACACATCTCCAAATATTGTTGTTGCCATTTTTAAAAAAAGTGTAATCATTCACTACTAAAATGCTTGCGCCCTTGTTGCTCTTCATGTATTGTAAATCCATTCAAATAAGATGTAAATAATAGTCTAGAATGTAATTCGTTGACCTTACATACAATTGTTTAACTCTAATCAAATACTTTACTTCATAACAAATAGGTACGAATTTATCTTACATATCATTACATTTTACTGCAAATACTTAATCGTACTTAAGTGTATGACTTCTACATCTTTGATTACCTGATATTGCTTAACAAACTCTTGATATATTGAAAATTGAGCTCACATAAACATTCTTTTTAATAAATTGTATCCTAGCTGTTCGAAATAGATGTACAGGATAACATGACTAGGATAATAACAATAGCAATTGAGTATCAAATTAAAAGATTACAATATTTGTTGGAAGTAGACTTCATCATACGTTTCGAAAACTACGTTTTCAACTGGTAGGGTGATGATGTATTATTTATGTTACAATAAGATCAATTAATAAAGATTAACAACATCATTAAGTGATCTGGTATATTTATCTTGAACTCTAGGGTTAACCTAGTATTACTGACTTATTGGGGCTACTATAAATTGAGAGTACTCTGGGGATATCTGTGATCAAATATTTGAAAACTATGAATTAAGTATGATACTATAGGTCATATTTTCTAGCTACAAAGCAGTACAGAGAGAACTATTGCATAGTCCATTGGCCATTTATTTCCAGACAAAGGTAACAAGTGGTGCACGTTGGAAAAAGTAGAACAAGCTTTCTGTACTCGTGCTAAGATCGCTTTGCCCAGAAGATGATGAAACTTTCAAGAAAAGTGATTTGATAGACGTATGGAAATATTCAAATCATAAATTGGCGCAGATTCATTGGAACGCCTTCCATTCTGAAGTACAGAATTGAATTTATGAAAAATGCTACTGAGTGTATGTAATTGCGGGATTTATATCTTGAAACTGGTGAAGTATCCCTGTTAACTTGTAGCATGATTCAGGCTTAAAATAGTTAGAAATGCATAGATGGAGAATGTATATAAACACTATTCAACGTGTTCTCTGCATTTAGGTATTTCATAGGAAGAGGTCATCATAATAGCTAAGTGGAGATGTCAGTAACCACACATAAGTTTTGCAAGTGTTGAACTATTGAAAGGACTCAAAAGAATGAACTGATCTCTTTACCAACAATAATAAGTTATCACAAAAAGGAATGTAGAAACCAAATACCGCCCTGGTTTTCACTATACATAAAGTGATATCATCACTAATGCCAACACCAACATGTACACAGCTACCTAAATACAAACTTCTTGACTATTTCTAACTGCTTATTACCAAAAGTGAGTGTACGCACAGGTCTTGCCAGTCTTTTAAGTGTTTTGCACTTTGAAGGCGCAAAGCACATGACATACTTACAGACACTGAGTGCTAAATGTATAAGTGCGGATTGCACAGCTCAAGTATCATCGCACGTTTGTGTTTGCACGTTAAGACAATACCATCGGCATACTGAAGGTCGAAAAGTATTTCACCATGTAACAAATTCACGCTACCACTACCTAATTCCATCAGAGCTGTTTCCAGAACCTTATCAATGCTATGGTTGGAGAGGAATGGTGAGATTGCCCAACCACCTCTTACCCCACCGGATGAATGAAGCATTGGAGAGAGGTGCCATGCCATTATTCTGTCTGAGGTATTTGTATATGGGGACTTCAAGATGTTAACAAGCTTTTCAGACACACCCTTCTTCAGTAAACAGTTTAAGAGAACAGCCTTGTTCAATGTGGCTCCGATTTCAAGAAACATTACGATTGTTGGTCTGTTATAAGCATAGTGGTGTACTAACGTTTGATGGAGAAAGGAGATATGATCAATACATCCTCGACCAAGACGAAAACCAGCCTGCTCCTCGTGAGCCAATCCTCCGCGGGTTGGGAAGTGTGACGGAAACTAACAGTTTGGAAGTCATCGGAAGTAGGTTTATCCCTCGATAGTTACTGCATAGGTGACGTAAACCCTTTTTAAAGATAGGAAAGACTACCACCTTATACCAGGATATCAAAACACTCAATTCAATAACCAGAAGTTCCCCACCATTCTTAAAAGGGGCTGAGGGTAAGCTGTTTGGTTCTGGTAACTTATGAGCTTTCATGAGTTTCCTGAAGAACTCCGCCCCTTTAAGTGGGTCAGTCGCCACCGGCTATAGAGGACAAGGCAGTCTGGTCGATGTCTCTGGGATAACTAACCACATGATCTATTTCTCGAAGAACTGTTCAAAACCCAGGATGTCGGTAGATGTTATTGATCAGCGTACCGTCAGATTCACAGATTGTTCCACCCACATCAGACTTCCTGCCCCCGGTGGTTCGGATGGATTGGAAGATCTCCAGCTTCTTCTAACTTGTCAGCTACAACGTAGGACCAGGCACATATGTGCATCGGTCCAGGTTGCCATACCGCATCAGCACAACAAGATGAACACCGGATTCATAGCAGTGGTTATGTCAAAGGTGGTAATATATAAGAGAAAGATTGCATATAGAGATATAGTACAAGAAGAAAAAATTGGTTCGTAGAAAGAAAGGTATGAAGCGATTTTAATCTCTTAGTTTAAGGGAAGACAGGGAGTGTATACACCGACGCCATTGTGATCGATTCTGAGCCATATCACCAAGAGTCTCCAACCATTGGTTACGAAAGTCACGCGGACCCCAACCAAGTAGTCTGCATCTACCAACATGGCTCAGACTAGAAGTTAGTGACTTCAAGCACTGATGCCACGTTTTGGTTTAGCCGCCCCTAACTTTCTTCCAACCATCTCCAATACCGGATAGCATTGCACGTCGTGATAATCGGTATTCAGGCATACGTAACACGTGGCCCAACCATCTCAGTCGATGAAGATTCATAACCTCATCAACTGATTTACCATCATTCCCTAATACCCTACGTCTAACCTCACTATTACTTACCCGGTGATCCCAGCAGACACCAGCAATATTTCTAAGGCATCTGTGGTCAAATACTAGTAGCTTACGAGTACCTTCTACTCTTAATGGCCATGTTTCGCTGCCGTAAATTAAAACAGAACGGACTGCCGCGCAGTATACTCGTCCTTTTAGTGATAGACGGATATCTCGCCTTCGCCACAGGTGACGTAAGTTAACAAAAGCCAAGCGAGCTTTTCGAATCCGTGTTGAGATTTCGTCAGACACCAACCCATTAGGGCTGATCAGACTTCCAAGATAAGTGAAGTTGTCGACGCGTTCGACTACTTCACTCCCTATCCTTAGTTCAGGTGTTAACGCAGACCAGTCCTGAAGCAACAAATTGC